TGTGTTTGTGTGCTCCTGCTGACCCCTGACCCCTCGAAAACCACTCCCCCTCCCCCTCCGCCGCCCATCCTCTCTTGGGGGTCAGCAGACAGTAAACACGGATATAACTCCTGTCCACCGCAGGACTTTGGCTCCTTCAACTTCAAACGCTGTTAAGATACTTTTTGTTTGTGTTTTCCTTGTCGTAAAAAGGGGCGAAACGAAGGGGGCGGATCGGGTCAGAGGGCAAAAGGGGGGCGGGGCAACAGCAAGGGCATTATTTAATTACAGGACTACAGTTGTCCTGGCCATTCCTCTGCCACATTTTTTCACTTTTCCGCACTTGTTTCGTTCTCGAAAGTCGTAAAAATATTTTCAAGCTGCTGCCATTTTCGACCACCGAGAAAAGCGGGAAGGTCGTCGGTTTGGGTTCCTGCCAATCGCTTGACCCCGTCGATTGCCTCTGGGAGCCTCAAAACAATTTTCGAAACTTCTTCACACAAAAAAACAGCAACAAGCTTTTAATTAATTTACAAAATGTTGTTTGTTTCCTTTTTACCATAGCTAAAAGAACTTTTTGTAATGATTTACAAAAATATGAAACGGATCCTTTAAATTTTAGAAATAGTTTACAATGTTTAAAAATAGTTTCGGAAATATAATATGAATATATAATATTACTTTAACAGATATGACTATTATACGTATAATTTTACTAAAAAAATCCTATTTTAAATTTAAATGAAATTGTTATATTTTGTATTACTTTTATTCATTTCACGAATGTAAAATGTTTTATTAATGACCTTTTTTATTCTTTATTTCTAGGTGAGTCTCCCATATTTCATTTTTAAAATTACGTGAGTAAATAATAAAGTTAAACTTTCACGATCCTTTTATGAATAATATATGTACATGTAAGTTCAAATGTGGACGATTTGGACAACATTTGATTAAGAAAACGCATGAATCTCGGTCAAAATATCTTCAGCTAACAAAATATTTCAATGGATTGTTCAACAACAAATGTTATTTATGTGCAATAATGTGCACAATTTGTATTTCGAATGCCTCATACCTCCCCAGATCAAATATTCCCCAACGACTTCTTCGAATCGGCTTGCAAAATGTCTTGCAGTTTCAAAACACACCATGTTGCACACATCAAGTTGCACGACAACTGCAGTCGGATTTCTGGATTTGCTTCGAGATTTTCCCCAAGATTTTCTCCACCCCCAAAATATATATCCCACATATACATATATCTTTTCCATTGTGCTCCCTTGGTCGCATTTCAAACATTTCTCGTTTCGCTTCTCCGATTTGACAGTTTGTTTACAATATGCTCATCCATCCAGCGAGGTGGTCTCCTCTGTGTCTGGCATCTCCATGCGGGCTTTTCCCGCTTTTCCCCCGCTTTTCCGAGCTGGTGGCTCTTGTCATCATCGGGGAACTGCCCAATTATGTCAGAAAAAGATGTGAACTTTGCCCAGACAGCTGCAACCGCATTTAATTTGATTTTAAATCATTGAAATCTTATCTGCTCCGTGAACCTCTGAGAGTAATAATTGGCATTCGGACATATGTTTAATTCTGTTCAAGTAGTTTTCATTGGAAATGAAACCGTGAAAATATTTAGAAGTTTTAAATCACTTAAAAAGGAAACTGATAAAAATAAAACGAATGCTGACTTTTTAACAATTTGTTGCGGTAGAACTGAAATACCAATTTAAATACATTGGTAAAATAATTCAAGAAACGAATAAAATAAATAAAGTTTAAATACATATATGTATTGAAAATCAAGATTATTATTCCAGCAAATAAACTAAAGCCTCCTTGCACTTTAAAATCTCCAAAATGTCTAAACCACAACCAGTAGCAAAATTCCATTGAATTCCGGCCCCATATTTTCCACCCATTGTTAACATTTCAGGGCCATTATAAGTTCTTTGTGGCGTCGCGAATTATTCTCAACATCGTGGTCGTTGTTGTTTTAAATAATTAATCATTTGGCCTGAATAACCAAAAACGCAGGGCAGCCAAAAATATGCACATTATGTGGCCAGAGTCAGGGAATGGCGTTTACAGGAGAATAGGACTGCGGCGAAGGATAAAAAGAGATGGATAGCGTCCTGCACAGTCAGAAAAATAGCTAACCTATTTAGGTTTGCAATTAAACATTTTACATGTACAATTGAATAATAATTTGGCTAGCAAATTCACAAAATAATTATGTTCCTTCAGCTAAGAAAGCTAAAGAATTCCTATAAAACAAAAAATTTATAAAACAATTTGCACATTTTGGGTTTGTTGAACCTTAAGAAGAATATATAATTTTTCAATTTCTGCATCTGTAAAAACGAGAGATTTTCTAGATTTTTTCTCACAATGTATGACAATCTGGAAACGGAGAGCGAACCGATATAAATTGCATTATAGGCAAATTAATTGTTTTCACCGGCCGCAAAAGGGAGGGTGAGGGGGTGGTCGCATTAATGGCCAACCCCTAAAGCCCCCTCATCCTCCTCCCCCTCCCCCACCCACCCGTCCCAGCAGCACACGCACACATCGAGGAAACGGGGCTTCCAAGGACATTAATAAGGCCCAAAGGATGTGGTGACATTAATTGCGCGACGAAGGCCGAGCCATTTGGCGGTCGAAGGGAGGTGGCGGGGGGTGGGTCAAGGGGGCGGACGGTCATTACATTTCCATATAAATATTTATCGCATGTGATAATGCCCGCCTTGGGGAGCGGGCACCGGTGGGGTTGCCAATAGTTTTTCAATTTATGTTGTAAACGGTCGAAAGGGAGGGCGGGAGTAAGCCCTCTACAGGGGTCGCCAGTAAATGGTGACTGTAGATTAATTAAATATCCTTTTAATTCGAAGAAACAAATTTTAGATACAAGTTTGGGAGACATCAATTTAAATAGACAGATTTTCATTTAAGTAGAATTGAAACACGAGTGTGTTAAGAAGATTTCAAGACCTTAAGGTAATAATCTTTATAACCTTACAACAAAATATTTTAACTTGATGAAAAATCCGAAATATGTATATTGCAAAATATTTAAATAAAAATTAAACATTTTGTATTATAAAGGGAAACTATATGAATTGAATGAAAGTAATGAAAATAACTCACCACTTTGAAATTCCAAAAGCCATCACAGTTGTAACTATCCCAGTGCTCACTGTGCTTCACTTTTAAGCCCTGTTAACTGTAACTGCAATTCGAGACACATGCTGTCGCCTTCGCACGCGCTGCAATGTCTCGCCCTTGCTGTCTCGCTCGCACATTTGGTGGGGAGATGGCTTTGCATGTGTAATTAAGGCGAAACGGTCAAGAAATCATAATCATAATTTAAGTGGACCCATTGTGCGACCATCTTCTTCTTCCTTTTTGGCTGTTGGCAACATCTGTCTAAGCAAATAGCACATTCATTACATTAATTAATAATTGTATGGCATTAATTTTGATTTATTTGTCTTCCTCTTCCCCACTTTTTCTGGAATGCCAGGGCCAATTTGTCAACTTGGTCAAATGGAAGTGGGAAGCAGAAGCAAAATTCCTTCGGGAACTTACCTCTCTTTTGCTCTTATTGGAGCCGGTTTCTGCTTCAATTGGGAAAAACAAAAACAAAAGCCCCAGTCGCAACAGCTGGTCGATCTTTTCCGCTCTTTCTCTCTCCTTTCCACTCCCAATTTGGCTCTTTCTCTTTTTTCCCGTTCAACTTGCTCGATCGGTCGAGGCCATTCAAAATGTAAAAAATGTTAAAGAACAGGCCAAACCACAATAAAAACAAAGCGAATAGCACAACTGAAAACAAGAGCCAACAAAAGCAAGGCAAAGAAAACTTTGGCGCTGTTTTGACGATTTGAGCGAAGGGCTCTCCCACGTTCAAGATGCGTGTGTGTGTGTGCATTTACAAACTTACGTTCCACTTCCTTGGAAACGGAGCGAACAAAACGATCACTGTCTCTCCCTCTCTTTCGCTTCGTTGACTATCGCACTCCCACTGAAAAAAATAATAAAAGACAAATGTACATTATTTGAGGTGTTACAGAAATCCATTTTAAACTAATATTAACAATATGTATGCACATATGTACATATGTCTGTATGCATTTAAGCCGTTTGCAGGGCGCACTGTATTTGAATGCAAGGGGAAGCACATGGTGAAGTTGCAACAATTGCGACCTCGCCCAGATTTCCTCCTCCGCCCACTGCCACGCCCCCGCATGCAGCCGCCTCCGTTTTTTGGCCTTCTCGCCTCTCGATTTTCTCGATGCGTTTGCATGGCGTCTTTAAATAGTCGCCTGCGTTCATTTCAGCATTTACTATTTCACACAGAAAGAAAAAACTTATAAAACTGCAATGCTGATAAATTAAATTTGACTACATACTTAACTTTCCATTTTAAAATAAAAAATTAAACAAAGATATCGACACCGATATCTGCAATTGGAAAAGCTTGGCTGGAATTCGGTTGCAAGACAATTTGGATCCATTCGTTAAAATTCTTTTTTCTGTGCACCCGTGGATTGTTGTTAATTTTTGTGGCTGTGTGGATGTCGCGGTCTGCAATGCAGTTGACCAAAAACAATGCATACGCTTTTATGGCGGTTTTTCGTGATTTCGATCGCGGCGGCAACAACAATCACCCAAAAGGAAAACAAAAACAAAAACCATGCGATTTGCGCAATTTACCATCGGCCTTTGTGTTGGTGTGCGTCAGCAACTGCTGTGTGCGTGTGGGCAGCATCCACTTCCAATGCAGCAAACTCGTTCCACAGAAACCTACACACACACACCGGCAAACAGCACATGTTTTGTGTTTGTGTAATGCCGCATAAGCTCTCGCGCTCTCTCGGCGTTCGTTCGTGCGGTCTTCGGCTTTTTTTGCCGGCGCTCTCTCGCTCTCATTGTAGTGTTTAATAAGGGACCGACAGACGCGACGAGACTACTCCCAGCACTTATTCTACCATGGGCAGCTTACTGTGTTTTTCAATCTGATTGGAATTTCCGAAGTGAACGGTTCGGTGTCGCGGTTGCCCGAAAATTGAGTAAAAGCGCCGACAATGTTGTTTGCCATTTTCACACGCGAATAATTTCAACCTGCAAATTTTTGTTTTGTAAGTGCGCGGCATTTTTTTTGCTAATGGTGTGTGCGTGTAATTAACCAACATTTGAGTGATAAAATAACCGAAAAAGAAGCCGAAAACATTTGCGATTATTGTATGCTTTACTGTTTTTTGTTCGTGTGCGTGCCTGTGCTTGTGTTTCTGTGTGTGTGGCTCATTTATTTATTTTAATTCTTCGCAATGCAAACACAAATAATCAAAGAATAACAAAGAACAAGAAAAACAAAGAGGAAAACCGAAAACAAAAATGTTGCTGCCGCTGTTTCCTCTTCTTCTTTTTACATGCGAAGTGTTTTGTTTGTTTTTTTGTTTCTATGTGTGTGTGTGTTTCTTCTGGGTTTTTTGATTTTTGCACATGAGTTTTCGCCATAAATGCAAATTATGCTAAAATTTTGAGTGTTTGAAACGAGTTTTCATTGGATTTTGCAAGGCCTGCAGTTAAATGTTTTATTTGAAATCTATGTCGCACATTGATCTTCGTGGGTGACTCACCCACACACACACAGCATACAACCTTCTCTTTCTCGCCGTGTGTCTCTCTCCCTCTGACTCAGTCCAAGATTCTTCGAAATTATCGCAATTATCAACAGCAAAAAAAATAACAATGTTGGGGAGATTTTGTAGTTAATGCTTTTTAGGAGAATGCCTTATACGGTCTTCTAAATTATCATTTTACATTTTGATTTTATGGCTTTTGGGGATCGCCTTTGCGTCAAGTAATGTTAGTTATAAACAAAATGTATCTGAACATATTGGGAACTCTGACAGTCACACATTGATAAATTCTTAATAAGAAAAATTCTTACAAATTTCCCCATCATTAGATATATTCAAAAGAATTAAATACAACCATTCACATTTAATTTCAACTTGCAAATAAAAACTTTTAGCTGCTTAAAGATATTTTTAAAATATTTTTTTTTTTGCATAAAATTACTTTCAATACATAAGAATGTGTTTCCTGGTTAAGTTTCCTTCCATATTTTGTTTAGACTAAAAATATCAGAATACTACTTCTCATAATCATATTCGGGGAGCAATCCGAAAATAGCTTGGAGAAATCATAATTCCCTCTGGCTGCACTTTAGTTTCCCTCCGGCTTTTCCTCAATCCTTTTTGGTTTTCCGCCATTAATGTCATTCGAGACGATCAGCAAATCAATTTAACAACAAATGCGACGACACTTGAGTTTTCCAACGGGGGAAGAAAGGGGAATGGGCAGAAGAATTGCTAACATGTGCGGCCCTTAAGATGCGATTCTCCTCAGCCGCATTCCAATATGTGTTTAATGGAGTAAGACTGGGCCACTTGCGGTTAACGTTTATTAACTGTAAATGAAGAAAGCACACACCGAAACCGAAAAAAAACTAAATGCAGATTGCAGTTGCAGGAAAAATCACTGTAGCGTTTTAGCCACTCTAATTTTCTATGTATTTGCATATCTGCATTTCTTTAAATCTTTAAGATTGATATGTGTAGATTTGTTTCGGATTTACAACAGTTTTTAGCAGCAAGATAATCCTTAAACAAAAGTTTAAACATTCATTTCAAATTGCTCTAAAATATATGTATAAAAACTATTTAAATAGTTATTATTTAATGAAGCTTTAAATATATGAGAAATTTCCCATTTTTTGTCAGTATCAGACGTTGACTTTTCGCTCATTGCTTTTCAGCATGGAAAATGTTCAGGTTTTTAAATTATTTTGTTCGTTTCTTTGGAGTGTGGAGTTTCATTAACGTGCATTGTACGCCTGAGTGAATTTTCCATTTTATTTACATACCAAGCGATGGTCAGCGATGGGGTTTATTCAGTTTTTTTTTGTCATGACAACCAGAGAGGGAGAATTGCTGGGTAAACGATTCTACAGCTTAAACCACCATAATTAATTCTTAAATATTATTCATTTCATGCGTTTCGATTAAATGAACAAATTCAAAAAGTGCAAACTGTGAAAATGCCATCGAAGCTTCGAAAAATAGTGCAAGAAGTTGCATTTTAAACAATATACGAAACTCTTTCAACAGTCAACGAACTTGTCATCGTAGCCGCAAGAGCGAAAGAGACGGAAAAGCCAGAGAGAGGGAGATAGAGAGAGAGCGAGTCTCTTCTCCGCCTCTGAAATTTGCATAGAGAAACACGACACAAAAAGCAGCAACATGTAAGTAATGCAAAAAAAAAAAAAGCAAAAAAAATGGCAAAATGAAAAATTGTTTCGCTACCAACACAAAAACTGCACTCAATAATGAAGATAACAGGATTCTTTATGCTTTTTATGGGAGTCATCGAGGGGAATTTGCTGGGGAATTACTTGCGAAGAATCGCGTAAAGAACTTGGGACTTACATTCGGTTAAATATTTTTAAGGCAAATACCGCAAGTAACTTATGAATGGGAGGGTTTATTTAAAACATATAATGGATGCAACTTGAGGAAGTTATATTATATTTGCCCTATCTATAACCCTTATACAAAAATTGGTAGTCTGCAATCGGTCATTTTAGTAAAACGATAATGTATCGACAAAGTAATCATGAGTACTCTTTGTTTTAATATTGTTATATGATTAAAAATATATTTTATATTTTTTTTGTAATATTTACTGATGCTTATTACTGATGAATATTAAATTCGTGTTATAAGCAAACAAGTTTTCTGGGCTATGGAATTTGAAAAGAATTTAATTTGTAAATCATTCTATTAACAAATGAAAAAATGTAAATATTAGTAAATCACATAGAAATCATATAATTAATAAATATCAAATGACGCCTAGAGCTGTGTTCACAAAAGCATTACAGCTAAGCTGTAAATTTCCAAATACACGATTAACCTTCCCCTGGCAATTAATATCGAGATAGACAGGGTTCAAAGTGCCAGGCCGGTTGACTTAATGACAATTCTCAACCCTCGATTCGAAATGGAATCCCAATGTATGTGTTTTGGTGCCCCCTTCCGAAACCTTCAAACATGTGCAACAAATACGCCGGTCTTCGCTTATCGCAGTTCCCTTACACTGCACAAAAACAAGCAAACACGCCGCAGGGGAGGGGATTTATTTTTGGGTTCTTGGTCAAATTGATGGACGGAGCACGGGGCAACTTTTGAGGCACTTGCAACTGACCCCACCGAAATCATTCGCCCAATCAAAGTTGCCACCTGAAAGCGATAAGGAACAAACATTTATGTTTTGGTCGGAAAGTTTCCTGCTGGAGGGGGAAGAGAGTGAGGGAGAGGGGGAGAGGGGGTGGCGGGTGGAGGGGAGGAAGGCGCCTCAGATATCGACGGTCAATCGATGATGTCCCCAAAACAACAACAACAACATTAAGCGACGATGTCAATTTCTTTGTAATTTGTTTGGCTGTCTCTTTTCCCATTCCTTTAATGTAACTTAATCTACACAGGAAAAAAAACTCTATATAAAAACAAAACTTAAAGTTATGGATTTAGAATATGTTTAGTAATATTATCTTTGAATATCAAGATAAAGATAAAATGCCACGTAATATCAATTCAAAAAGAAAGCTTTTAAGTTTCAAAAAATCTTCTAATAAAACCCAGATTTTCTCTAAAATATTGTTTATATTATTATATTATTTCTTTGAACAATCACATTTACTAAATTATGAAATATTATTTCTTTCAGGGTTTGGTAAGAACCCTGAATTCTTTGCTTGGAGAATCAACCTTCCTTATTCTAAGTGTACCTGCGCTGGACAAACATTTCAAATAGATTTTGAAAAGCAAACTGCGGCCAAATCATGAATCCAACCGCAGGCGAACCCAAAAGTCAACAACAACAAATTGCAGTCTATATAGAAGAGCCCCAACTCCCCAAAATTCCCCACTTCCTCAACCGATTCCGCTGCTCTTCCACTGTTTTGTTATCAGCTTCGGGCCAATTTCAACTTTCGTTTTCGGTCTTTATTTAGCTTTCTCAAGAGCAGAGGAAGGGCACCTGCCTCTTATCAGCGTCTCCGATTTTCTTTTTTTTTGGTTCTGCCCCCCAGTAAGCGATTCATAACCCATTTCGAAGTGCCCATTCCCGTTCTTACATCCAATCACCGATTACGAAACTCTCGCTGGTATCTCAATAAATTGTACATTGCGTAATTCCCAGAGAAAGAATGGGATTTTGCCTTGTGAATCGTAATTGTAAGAGTTCGCCGGCTATTAAATTGTCGAAGAATTTAAGGGGAAAACGCTGGGGATTTGTTGGGCTTAAATTGTTTTTAATAACGGGTAACCAATTTTGAGTGACAGATTTCTCAAGAGTTCTGTCTGTTGTTATCCAACTTTTGCGGCTTTGGACCTTGTTTTACAAACAAACACAAAAGTTTTCAACAATTTTAATTGGCTATTCAATTATTTGAAAAGCCTATTGCGCCTTGAAAAATGTCTTAACTCTGAAGTTTGAATTTAAGATAATTAAAGAAGTACTTAAATCGTATTTCAAACAAAACCCAAAAGAGCACTGAGATTAAATCGTTTTGGAAATATCTCAAAGCCATTTAGGCAATTGCTTTTATTCGAATTCCGTCGCATAATAGTATAAATAAAATACTTGGCCACCGAAATCCCTGAACCTCTTGTAAAACAGCGTTAAACTTTATTTCAGGGTCCCCAAGTCAGACGTTGTACAAATAATTACGATCTTTAGCATCTCTCAATTGAAGCTTGTTGCAAAAAAAAAACAAAAAAAAAAGAAAGGCGAGAAGGGCGGGGTTTATGACGATGACGAGCATCTCAATCCATTTTTTGTTTTTTGGTTTTTATTTTTTTATTTATTGGTCTTTTTCTGGCTTTTTCGCCTCACTTCCGCGAGCTCTTTGTGTTTCGCATTTTCTTTGCTTTTTGTTCAAGATACTTCAGACGTTGACGACGCACTGCAAATTGTGGGTTGTCAGGGGGTTAAAAGGGGGCCAAAAAGGGGCTGTCAAAGGGGGGAGGCGGGGATGGGGGCCAACAAACTAAAAACCGGGAGAATGGGCGAACCGGAGACGGAGATTGGAGCTAAGGAGGCGGCATCAGACGAAGACCAAGATGAAGATGAAGATGACGATGACGAAGTCGCGACGACGTTGTTCTTCTTCCCATCTTGAACTCGAGATTGGGCCGCCAGTTTGCGTCGTTGTCGTTGGCAATATTTAATCAAGCCAAGAAGCCAACTGGAAGCAGCCGCCCGCCTACAGGGAAAAGCAAAACAAAACAAAACCAAACCAAACAGCAGCGAAATCAGCGAAAGACAAAGCCAACTTCTTGTTGTTTTCGATGTTATTGATAGTTTCGCCATGAGTGAGCTCGTCTATCTGCGAGATACGCAGATATTCGCAATCCGTGCGTGGGTGACTGTCGAACCAAGCAAAAGCCCAAACTCAAACCCGAAACCCTCGGAATCCGTATCTCTTGCGACAACATTGCACCCCACGTTTCATGCAGGTGACCACAAAAGTCGATATGCCTCATTTTATACAGTTGTGGTCGAAAGAAAATGTGTATTAATTCAAAAGGTTTTTCATTTAAATTGTATTCTTGTAATACTTCATAAAACTTAACCAAATATTGTTCATGGTTAACATATTTAGAGGGAATACTAAAATTGTGTTTAAAAACCCTTGGCATATAATTTAAAGTATGTCTCCATTTAAAATCATTTCGATTTATTGATGAAATATGATATGGATTTGAAATAATATTTATATAAATGAAATATCTTTAAACATTTTTTTAATATTCTATTTTTGTGAACGCATTTGTACTTGTCCAGCGTTTTGGCTGACTGCGGTAAATAAGTACTTGGCCAAAAACCCAGAAAGCAAAATAAACGAAGGGGAAGTGGAAAGATTTATGAAAAAAGTTTATCGTGTAAGTTACTTTGGCTACCGAAAGCCAATTCGATACTGTGACTAAGGTTGTGTGATACAGTTAAAAAACCTAAGTTCCAGATTTTATATTTATCAAAATATATATGTAGTACAATACTTCCTGTAGTTGTATGAATTAAGGGGTTATATCCAGTTGCGATTTTGAAAAAATCGAAATTTTTTTTTTGCCTATTTTGAATGTATATATATCTAAGAAGATTATCTGAAAATTTCAAAGTATTCCGGTAAATAGTATTGGAGTAATCAGTGTATTTGTAAAGACGTCTCCCATGTAGTTCAACTAGTAGCCAAAACTTTAAATGCGTTTTTCTCGAAACTATGTCTTCAAAGTCGGTGAGCAAAATTTCTCAGAGACGGCTTGTCCGATTGACTTGAAACTTTCACATTCTCTTCTTAGATATTTTTTTCAGGTAATGAAACTTGGAATTTTGGCTCCGACAAAAACTTCGATTTTTTTAGCCACTTCAAAGTTGAAATTTTTGTGCCAAAAACAAAGTTTTATGTTTGGGAAGCCGCCATTTTGTCAAAAATCAAAATTTTGAAAATCACAAGTCTCATTACCAGCATTTGTCTATTCTTTACGTAATCCTTTTGGTTTTTTGCAATTTAGATAATTTGGACCGGAGAAATTTTGCTCACCGCAAAACCTTTTTTTGAAGTGGACCCTCGGGAGATCCTCTACAGGACCGACGGAGTCCAAAATTTTTTTTTTTTTAAATATATTCTAAAACTAGAAATAATGACCTATCTTTTCATATATATTACGTATTCATACAATAAATTGCCTCTCCAAAAATAATTTTCAAAAAGCTCATTTTTTTGGCCTCGCAACTGGATATAACCCCTTAAAATCTTACACTAATCAGGAAGGGATGTTAATGCAAAAGGGAGCCGGATTAAGAACTTAAAAACTTGGCAAATTTTATTAAAACCAAAACATTTTTTTTTTAACTGCAAGGCTATATTAACTGTATTTCAAAATAAACATCCTCTCCTGTTTAACATTTAAATTAACTTTGGATTCAAAAAGAGAAGCGGATGTGTTCGCCTTTTGCCAACAGCAAAACCAAATGATTTTTATTTTTGTATCTTTTTGAGGTATCTTTTAATAAAGTGGATGTCACTCAAATGGTAAAATGGTAAAATCGAGAATCGTTAAGCTTTTAGTGTCTTTTTATGGAATATCGAACCGCAGTTGCTGAAATGCAAATCGCTCGATATAACGAGATAAGAAACACAGAAAGGTTTATGGAGATGGCCATGAAGTTGCGGTCCTG